GTGCCACCACCAAAGCTTTTTCTGTTCGGTGGAACTGGAGATACTGCTGGATTGGGGTGCATGAACAATATAAGATGCCAACGTGTGATTTAGCTTGCCAACTACCAACCAAAGCTGAAGGTTTTGGGCAATGCTGACCTTTACACTGAAAGTGAACCTTGAGGGGCTTATGCATTAAAAGTGGTTGTCTATCAGCAACCACTCCGATTTCATCTGTCCAGCTTGCAGATATTAAATGAAACAAAGGATTCGGATGAGTTGCTATGAGCAACAATAAATGTTCCTGTTGGTATACTTTTCATACATAAACCCCAAAGTGTAATAAAACCCCCCATCTAAACCAAGGTCATTGCTGGATTGCATAAATGATAAGGTGCCAGATCATGCATTTATGTTTGCCATTCCAGTCCTCACACCACCACCTAAGCTTCCTGAAAAGCCCCATGGGGAGAAAAAGTCGCACGCTCACTGCCCTCAAAATGCAACAGTCCCTCCCTAAAGCTGGGGCTATATGGGCAACTAGATCTGCAATTGAGCGATTTAATGGCTTGTTGACCATCATCTCATGTGGAGCACACAAAATCAATGTGACACCAATGAAAACACTGTCAACAAGCAGTTACATCTCTCAGTATTAGGGCCCAATGACATCATCTACATTCATGCTGCGCTGGCAGTTTTTTCCAGAGCAAGACAAGGCAATTTGCCTGGTCACGGCTTGATACCATTCACATGATGGAATGTGGTGGCGTGCGCTGAAAAAAGTACAGCATTCAGTACTTTTTTTCAGTGCAACAGGATGCGATGTGGTACAAGCGCTCCGCACCCAGCTGTGCCCATAGAACTCAATGAGATAACACGTGCGACTTTTAGAAGGTGGTTATTTGTATAGGATCTCCGGGGAGCGATAGTGGTCCCTACTATCAATCACAAACCTGGCTTTACAAGCTTTTATTATACTTTTGTTTTCTAAATCCATCAAACTATGCCTCCCTTCCTAACCCGAGCCTACTGATACAAAAGGGCTTAAAAACTAAATCTCTAATATTAGGACATTTCAATAATTCTAACATTAAACATTTTAAAACTATGATTGTTCTACATATTTTATTTTAGGGCCAATATATGTTCTAACCTTTTAGTAAAGATATCATGGCAAGTGCAAACACCACAGAATGGGTTTGATCATTTACACAAGCTAAAATCTTTCCATGCTGCTGCTGGTTTCTTTTTCATTACTTTCTATGTTTTTACTTCATGACATTGCATTGATCTTGCTGGCTCATGTTTCCAACAGCTAAGGCCTCATCTCCTGTTTATCATATTAAAAGGGAGGGATGAGGCGGATGGCATCCCTTTCTTCTCTGGGTATCTTGCTTGTGATAAAGCCTTTGGTAGCCAGTGACCCTGCATGACACAAGCAGATGGTCCCATCAAGTAATGATAAATGATTACAAATATTAAAGTGTGGGAGGGCAAAACCTACTCTTCCTGATGCTAAGAACCAGCCTGGGATACTGCAGCTGCCACACGCTGGCTCTATACAGACATTGATCTCTCAGCTCTTGGTGTCTTCTCCCTGCAGAGAGCAGTGACTGTCAATCACTTCCCCATCTCTGTTCCTCCAGCCCTCATTGGAGGGACAGACAGGGGAGAGGGTGGGCACAGCTAACTTTGGATCTGGAGAGGCAGCTGTCAGTTAGGCAGCCAGGGTGGATCCTGACAATATTTTCGGTATCCTTCCTGACTGCAACATGGCTCTACTTCATCAGCTGATAGCAGGCACTAGCCCTTCACTGTTGACTTTGTGTCACAGGAGGACACGTACTTCTGTGACCCAAAAGAAAAGTAAAGCCAAAGAGGAGGTTTGACTTTACCCCTCTTTTAAACAAGGATAACCATGATGGCAGAAGAGTGGGCAGCCATGAACTAAGCGCACCTTTTACTAAGTGCCATAGACAGGAGATTCTGTGCCAGCTCTAGAAGGCGGGCTCCCCACATTTGCTTGAGCATTCTAACACCAATGAGTATCATGATGAGCAAAGAATACCCTTACTGGTTGGCTCAAATCACTCAGACAAAAGGAAAGGGATGAACGTTAATCTCCTCCGCTCTATACTGTACAAAGAGATGCCCCAGTCCCCTCACAACAGACAGATGTCCTCAAATAAAAGCTTGATAACACAGATTAAAAAGAAAACTAATCAGCAAGTGGAAAAGAACAAAACAAAGTTATTACCATGTGTACATTATCTGAACTCATTTTGTTACAGGTGCCTTTTAATGGCTTTGACATATCCATTACATTTGGTCAGTAACACGATTTTATTAACTGTTAAACCACCAGCCAAGATAAAGATAGCAGCCTGGATGCGATTGTAGCAGTGAAAGTATATCAAACCGGGGAGTGGGCCTGATTTCTCAGCAGCTGCCAAAATGCAACTTGCTTCATAGAAAGGCAACACAAAATGATGTACGGAATCCTACAAATCTAGGCGAACCAGGATGACCGACACCAAGCCTTAATCCCATGTAAAGTGATAAGCACCTTCCTTTTTGCTGGTCCTCTATGTAATCAGATCAGCTAGACAGACTGCATTACGTGAGCAAAAGCAGCCAGATTTTATAACCAAATCCTACTTTTGTATTATATGAGCCGCAGTCTTCAAGCCTCATTGCCTGCACTGTACTGATGGATGCGGAGAAAGCTCAAATATACCATTTCCATGTTGTGTATCTCGGGATCAAATGACTCGGAACAATTAAACACAATAAGATTACTGGATGGGTGCCCATATGGTGGAGTTTACACCTCCCTCCGGTGTCCGAGTAGGAGCTTTGCTGGAGACAAAAGAAAGCAGTCACAACACACAGGTGGGTGAGATATGAACAGATACAAGTCCCACTTCAGCAATCAGGCTAGAGCTTTCTATTATTTCTGGAAAAGGTCTAAATTCAAAAATATTGAGGTAGCATTGATACTTTTGTTGGGTTCCAGATGTTTGTTTCAAGGAGTGGTGGGTCTAAGGTGCCATTGTGTGCTGTGCTGGAGGCCATCTTATTTACAGGAAGAAAGTGGTAGTGAAGGGGGACTTAGCAGCCATATCAGCACACACCGCCTAAAGTGTAAGTCCAACCGACGAGTTATCAATGCTAGCTGGGCTTTATTACAGAAATCTCTCCTCGCCAGAGTGATATGTGTCACCAGACAGGAAGTGAGGGGAAAATCTGCAACAGAGATATAAAGCAATAAAAAGCTGACTGTAGATTTTTCCTTGCCCAATGCTGCTCATACAGAATTAGAATTTCGTTCAAAATGTATTTTTTTTTACATTGATAGGGATAAATTAATAGACGATCAGTTTCGACCGTAGTGAGACCAAAAAAAACAGGAGACGTGTGGAACATTTTTCTTGCTTCATATGTAAGCAAACAAAACTCCAACAGCGAATGTGGTCGGAAAAAGTAAAATTATTGTAATGCACATGTCCTAACAAAACTTTCATCCAGAAAGTTTTATTATAAAAAAACGCATTTGTTTAAAGGGCAAGTTCACTTTCCCAAGTGAATTTTGAAAACCGGCTCCAATCTGGTGACCAATGGCGAGCACTCATTGGTCAGCAGGGGGGGGGGCAAATTGGAGTGGGAAGGAGTGTTTGCTAAAAGGCACATATAGCACAGGGGAAAAGAGAGGTGGCCAGATTGGAGGGGTAATTCCATAATAACAAATTCACTTGGGTCAAGTGAACTTACCCTTCAATGATTATTCAGGTAATAGAATCCAAATAATTTATCATAAACATCAGATGGTTTCACAAATGACACGCAACGACTGCCACAAGGCAAGATTGTTGTTTTTGCACACGATTGTTCCCCTAAATACAGTAGTACGAGGGAATGGCTTAGAAGATGACATGCACACACAAACATTATATCTCGATGTTAAAATGCAAAACACGGGCATGGCAATCACACAAATTTTTGCCATGCCAGTGGCTAAACAAATTTTTTTTTTTTAAGTCATTGATGACATCGAACGCTCTGAAAATTTTTATTTTTTTATTTTTTTTTAGAAATCAGTATAAACTGCCGATTGAGATTCTAATCGTGTATGGCTAGCATTACTCTTTAAAATGTTGTTTTTTTTAGATTGGTCTGTGTTGCTTTTGAAAGTTTTCCCTCATTTCCAATAAGCGAGGTGAGATCTTTGTAATGAAGCCCCAGATAGTAGTAAAAACCCAACAGGGGTCCTATATTTCATTCTATCCAAAACTACCATAAAAAAATGTTTTGGCTGGACTTACACTAATATCACGCTTACCAACAATGATACAGCAATGATGACATCAAGGTAGCAATCTGTAGCATCAATCCAGTTAGTGTAAAACATGATCTCCAACTAGATGTTCTGGTAAACTCATTTCTCTGTTACACCTTTTCTTCTGGAATTAGCCTATTTAGGTTTATAGTATACATGGAATGTGATTTACAAAAACTGCAGAGAAGGAATGCAGAGATTTTGCTCATGGCACCTAGATTGCAGCTACCATTTAGCTAGCAGAGAAAATAAAACCTTACACCTGACCGGCTGCTAGAGGTGACACCTTTTCCTCCAGGTTTGGTCACTCGGTCCCTGGGAAATGCAATAATATGGAAATCCATGCAGCGGTTAGTAGCAGAAGCCCCATGTTTGTCCCTTGGTTAAGGGAAGGTAGGAATGTTAATTATTTACAGTATGATACAGAAGTATTGTATATTCACACATTATGTTTATAAAAAAAAAAAAAGTGAAGTGTCCGTTAATATATATACTTATTTATAAATAAGGAAGGGGAGTCTTAGCACAGTGTTGCCCCTGGGATAGTTGAAGTGAGTCAGAGCCATCATGCAGTGTGACCCCTTGAAGGAATCAGGTTTGGGTGTGTTGTGCCAGGAATTCACTTAGTACAGTACAAGATGGACGTCCTCCGCTATGACCACAGACTCCCAAATCGCCAAAATGTAGGTGCGGCTCACAGAGCAGCCTCTCCAAACGGTCGAATGGCTGGGCACGCCATTTTTCACCCCTGCACTTTCCAGATATCCATGCTAGGAGATCTTGCAGTTGCTCCTTGAGCAGTTCTGAGGGGGGCTCTGAGGTGGTCGAATCGATTTGGACCGTTTGAGACTGTTGCCTTTGCTTCCCCCGCCACTTCCTGCAGCCCCGCCACCGCTACCGGCCACGGAGTAGGAACGTCCATGCATCATCACAGCATTCATTCCATTGGCCATGGAGAAGGATTTGAGGTGGCTCTTGATAGCCACTGGCAAAGGAAGTTTATCGATTAGATGGACAGGCGTGCAGGAGACAATAGATCGGCAGCAAAGATCCTGCAGGCTGAATACTGGAGGAGAAATACACAACATATGTTAGAGAGATTCCACAAACAGCAACAGCGAACAGCAATGAACCTTCCTCCATACATTAGACATGTCACCGTTTAACTGTATTAATGTATAGAATTTGTAGACTATTTCTGGACTGAAAATAACATTTCTACACTGTATCTGCTATGTTTTAGCAGCAAATGCAGCCTAATGCCTCTGCACTCTTCCCCATCATGGTCCTTCCAGGTTTGGACCCGCTTTGCTGTACCTATCCTCAGCAGCCTTCTGTCTCTGCACTATTCCCTGTTCTGGTCCCTCCAGGCATGGACACTAATCGATATACTTACCCTCAGCAGACGCCTGTCTTTGCAATACTTGCCATCCTAGTCCTTCCAGGTGTGGAACCTCTCTGCTATACCCCATCCTCAGCAGACGCCTGTCTTTGCACCATTTGCCATCCTAGTCCTTCCAGGTGTGGTCTCTTTTTTGCTTTATCTATCCTTAGAGATCTTACCTCTAATTAAGACTATCCTTCTCTTACCCTTCCCAACCCTCTGACTCCACTCATCCTCCTATTCCTCTGCACCACCCTAAAGCCCCAATTTACTTTATATACTGTAGCTCTAACACACTGTCACCTTCTCCCCTTGACGCAGGCCACTCACCCCTGTTTGGCCTCCATATCTTCTCCATTCCATGCCTCATGAGGACTATTCGAGACAGTTCTGTGAAGGACTCTGTCACGTTGAAGTTGCACAGTGGGCTGACCTCAAAAAACGTCATGCCGTTCTTCTCGGCGTAGGCCCGAGCCTGTTCGGTGGGCACCTGTCTCTTGAAGGCCAAGTGCAGCCTATTTCCCACCAAGATGCGAGGGACTCCAGGAGCATGCTGGAAAAATAAAAAAGGCAAAGAGGTATTTTAATGCTCGTTTAGAAGGGTGGAAACTTAAAAGCTGCAATGCATTAATCTCCAACAGCAACAGATCGAAAGAAGAATGCCTTTTTTTAAGTAGAGTACGGATCATGTTTCGATTGCTGTGCATGTTCCTTGTTGCAGGTTTTCCCTCCTTTCCTGTCTGGTAAAAGTGTTGTCAATGTGATAGAAAATGAGTGTAGCTCTCTCCAAGTAAGTATAGCCGTAAAAACCTTACAGGGTTTCTTATGCTTCCCAACTTTATCTACAACTAAAAGGATGATGATTTACAACTTCAGCTTTCTACATCTCTACTGATCTTTGTGACATTGAGTTTTCTGAAGGGACGGTCTGTATATGGTTTTTTTTCTTTATTATATGCTTAATTTGAATCGTTCACGTTTGTGATTGTTCATTTAAAACACAATGTAGAAGACCTTGTTTATGTGGGTGGCAAAAGGGGTGGTAAATACAGGCAGTTGATATGCGTTTTTTTTACAGCCCCCCCCCCCCCACGCACAAAGCCGAACTCCACTACTGTGGAGCGGACCATGAAGTAAATCAAGATTACGGAGTTCCTTCACTGCATGGTATAGGATATACAGCTGGGATTTAACTTTTTTTTTCCAGCAATCTACCTTCTTTTTGGCCCATGTTGCAACAAAGAAGGACGGCCTTGCAGATCCTGGGCTTCCCCAGCATGGCCACCTAATGATTAAAACTGGAATTGCAGCTAGAGCAGCCCAAGATAATGTACAAGTCTCTAAGAGGGATGATGGCCATAGGCAGTCTACAGCTGCCTTCGACTAGGGTGCCATGGCCTCAAGATTATGCATATTTTTAAAGTGGCCGGGTCTCGAGTGGTCTGTGGCATGCCCCTCCCCACACAGTTCAATGAACAGCGCTGCTCACGGAGCTGTTGATTAGAGCAGTGTGCAAGGGGACGCATGAGATCGCTGGAAACCAGTGTGTGAGATCACAGGTTTGATAACGTCCTGCAAGCACATTTTGCCCACTTGTTGCCAAATCAGCCAAAAGTGTATCCAATTTCAAGCCATCACAGTCCTGATGCATATTCTCCATTTGTAAGCCATGATGAAGGGGGTATTTGTATGAGCCCCCAAAATGCATTGGCTATTTCTATACTGCCCCCTCATCCCTATATCTTATAAAGTATCTGGACTATTAAACAGAGTGTGACAATTCAATTCACAGTCCTGCAGAAACCATGAACTCTACTTCTAAACATAACATTGTGGGCTACCATTTACAAACATTTGCAAGAGAAAGAGTGGTGGCTGGCATAGGCAAAGTGATATTGTCTCTAAGGCCCCATTCACACCTATGCGTATTGTAATATGCGCGTCTGTCGCGTGACCGTCACGCGTTTTTTTTACTGCGATTCGCGGTTAAAAAGTCGCGCGATTCCAAAGGCTACTTGGCAGTATCCAAATGGAAAACCCCCTACAAAACGGACCAATACGCAGCAAAAACGCTCCGGGACCTTTTCATGCGTGGGCCGTTTTGTAGTGCGTTCGGGACGGGCGGAAATACGGACAGGTGGGAACGATACCATTGACTACAATGCTATTTATTTTTTTGACCGTTTTGTAGAGCGTTCATCGAGCGTAGGACGCGCTACAAAACGGTCAGGTGTGAATGGGGCCTCAGAAGAGAAGTCTGCAGAAGGAACATGAATATGATAGTGGATAGACAGTACAGGTATCATTTGATCTCGTCTTCCGAGTGAAGTGTTACAGCTACCCCATGGCATATTACCTCGTCTATTTCTTTGATCCATCGGTCAATTCCATCAAAGGACCATCGGTTGGTGATATCATAAACTAGGAGGATTCCCTGGAAAACATCAAGGAGCTATATAAGTAGCATACTGCAAAAAGAAAATCTATGATCTCCGACACAACAGCAGTCTTTTTAGGACAATTATTGAATACATGTGAAATAGAACTAATCTTGTAGCTGTAATCCTGTGGGGCAATAATTTCCTACACACAACACATTTCCTGTCATCACATTAAAAGGAAGCTATGGACAGTGTTTTAGCCTAGCAATGTGTTGACATTGTGAAACGGCAGCTGAAAGAAGCATAGCGCATTTTCCTGGCAAATTGTACACATGCCCTGTAAGAGCCCTATGAACATTTGTGAAAGGCAGGCAATAAATGGCCCGAGGTGTTTAACATGATCTCCTGCTGCTCCGGTTTATTCACAACACAACAGTATCAGCTGGTTTTTGCCACCAGTGGACTGCACATTGGATACACGGGGTAAAAAGGACACATCAGCAATATTCCATACTGATCTGGCTAAAAATAAAACAAACATAGTCCCAGACATATTTAAAAAATATATGAATATACTCAAAAGAAATCTATGGAGGCCATCACTGACGATCCCATTCCTGAAATGCTAGCTGCCTTGCTATCAAGCTCATCCAGTGGGCTTCCATAATTTCTTAACTGCCGATATGGAGGAAATACGGAGCCCGGGATGGCATTATGGGGGGTTGGAGAGGGGGCAGATTGGTGGCGGTAACCCCATTTTCCCAACTGGGAACAGCAACTCAGCCACGAAGTGGTAGGCCACGTAAAATGACAGAGCGGGTTCAGCGCATAGTGCGCAGAAGTCGCCAACTGTCTGCAGAGTCAATAGCTACAGACCTCCAAACTTCGTGTGGCCTTCAGATTGGCACAACAGTTTATAGAGAGCTTCATGGAATGGGTTTCCATGGCCGAGCAGCTGCATCCAAGCCTTACATCACCAAGTGCAATGCAAAGCGTCGGGTGCAGTGGTGTAAAGCACGCCGCCACTGGACTCTAGAGAAGTGGAGACGTGTTCTCTGGAATGACGAATCACGCTTCTCTGTCTGGCAATCCGATGGAGAACGGTACTTGCCTGACTGCATTGTGCCAAGTGTAAAGTTGGGTGGAGGGGTGATTATGGTGTGCGGTTGTTTTTTCAGGGGTTGGGCTTGGCCCCTTAGTTCCAGTGAAGGGAACTCTTAATACATCAGCACACCAAGACATTTTGGACAATTTCATGCTCCAATGCTCCTTTCATGCTTCCTGTTCCAACATGACTGCGCACCATTGCACCAAGCAAGGTCCATAAAGACATGGATGGGCGCATTTGGGGTGGAGGAACTTGACTGTCCTGCACAGAGTCCTGACCTCAACCCGATAGAACACCTTTGGGATGAATTAGAGTGGAGACTGCGAGCCCGGCCTTCTCGTCCAACATCAGTACCTGACCTCACAAATGTGCTTCTGGAAGAATGGTCAAACATTCCCATAGACACACTCCTTAACCTTGTGGACGCCTTCCCAGAAGAGTTGAAGCTGTTATAGCTGCAAAGGGTGGGCCAACTCAATATTGAACCCTACGGACTAAGACTGGGGTGCCACTGAAGTCCATGTGCGTGTAAAGGCAGGCATTGCAATACTTTTGGCAATATAGTGTAGTAATAAAATGTATTCATAAAACCAGTGAGTACCGGTAAGAATTGCACCAGTACACCAACAGGACTGAGCAGAGTACATCTGAGCATCTTTTTCTGGGGCTGTGTGTGGAACTTATAAGGCAATGGTGAAATGTTTTTACTAGATCTTACCTGAGCTCCTCTAGAGTAAGACCGAAAGATTGTGCAAAACCTGCCTTGGCCAGAGGTGTCCCTGTTGAGGCAAAAAGGAAAAGGTCAGAGGTGCAGAGAAGTCACAAAATGTTGGTTCTGCTGGAAACAACTTAGGTCTCGTTCACACCTAGGCGTATTGCATATGCGCGTCTGTCGCGCGGTAAAAAGCCGTGCGTTTCTGAAGGCTACTTGGCTGTATCCCAATGGAAACGCGGAACAAAAACGGCCCAAAGTAGTACCTGTACCTTTTCAGACGTGGGCCGTTTTGTAGCGCGTTAGGGACGGGCGGAAATACGCCAAGGTGGGAAAGAGAGCATTGAATACAATGGGATTTATATTTTTGAGCGTTTTGTAGAGCGTTCGTCGAGCGTAGAACGCGCTACAAAACGTTCAGGTGTGAACGAGGGCTTAAAGTGCAACTCCAGTCACAACTGCTGCTTGCCTTATTTCAGCTTTAAAGTGGGGAGCAGTTAAAAACTCTTAGTAACTGCAGCTTCTTGGTCTCGCTCCTGGTCTACCCTGTGCATCGAACGCATAGCCCACCAGATATGATCGGGCAGCCTAACTGATTAATAGGAAGGTCAGAGGGTGAGAGGAGCTGGGCCAGAAGTGTAAACACGAAGCTGCAAACACTCTTTGCACCCCAGGATTTGGGGATGTGAGGCACAGTAAAAATCATATGAACAGACAACTACGCGGAACAAAAACGGCCCAAAGTAGTACCTGTACCTTTTCAGACGTGGGCCGTTTTGTAGCGCGTTAGGGACGGGCGGAAATACGCCAAGGTGGGAAAGAGAGCATTGAATACAATGGGATTTATATTTTTGAGCGTTTTGTAGAGCGTTCGTCGAGCGTAGAACGCGCTACAAAACGTTCAGGTGTGAACGAGGGCTTAAAGTGCAACTCCAGTCACAACTGCTGCTTGCCTTATTTCAGCTTTAAAGTGGGGAGCAGTTAAAAACTCTTAGTAACTGCAGCTTCTTGGTCTCGCTCCTGGTCTACCCTGTGCATCGAACGCATAGCCCACCAGATATGATCGGGCAGCCTAACTGATTAATAGGAAGGTCAGAGGGTGAGAGGAGCTGGGCCAGAAGTGTAAACACGAAGCTGCAAACACTCTTTGCACCCCAGGATTTGGGGATGTGAGGCACAGTAAAAATCATATGAACAGACAACTGGAGATTTTGGGATTGGGAGTCTTTCAGTGATGCAAGAACCTCCCATGGGTTTATTTCAAAAGATAACTTCATCTTTGTGATGACTAGTGATGTAAGGTTGATCAGGAAATAACACTTTACAAATGGTGCTCATTGCCTGTTTTCTTTGTTATGATCACAGACCTGACGCAGGTATACTGATGATTCATCAGTCTAATTTGTAATTAAACTAATTAAACTAACTATAAAGGAAGAATGTGTAGGACTAAATCAAATTCTGCAGAACAAAGGCCATAAAAAAGGAGAAGAAATAAACCTTGCTGATAAAGTAACAATGCTGTTTCTGCATTGTATGTGATTTTGAGTGCCTGACTATATTATGGGGCGGAAGTAATGAAGACCGAAGTGCAAGCTGCCACAGAATTTTGGAATTTCCTCTATTACATCTCCCAAAATCAAATGAGCATTATATCCTGAATATAGAGGGATGAGGGGAATAAAATAAACCCTTTTTTAAAGTTTAAATCTGGGGTGAGATGCAAGGTAGGGATGCACCGATACTAGTATCGGTGCAGATACCGAGTATTTGGGCGAGTACTCTTACTCACCCAAATGCTCTAATACTTACCACCGACACCGCAGCTTCCGGTCAAAGGGAGATCTCCTTCTGACCGGCAGTGCAGGAGCGTGGAGCGGGCTTCCTTTCCAATCAGGAAGCTGGGCAGTGGGTTATGACCCCGCCTCCTCGATTGCCCAGGAAGACGGCTTTACTTGTTGCTAGGCAGCCTGGCTTCCTAACCAATCATGACTCGCGTCCCGGCTTCCTGATTGGTCAGGAAGCCAAGCAGCCTCAGCAAGGGTCTTGACCCGCCTCCCAACATCCCAATAATCGGGACACATGACACCACTACTCGGTACCGACATAAAAAAAAAAAAAAATCGGTACTCTATACGAAAAAAACGGTATCCGTGCATCCCTAGTGCAAAGTTTTATCTGCTGCAGGGTCTCAACGTGGGAATTACATACGCTTGTGTTGGAGAGAGCCCATAGAGGTTTCCAGAGCAAGGTGGAGAGCAATGCAAGCAGACATAACACTTGTGCCTGATCCAGCCAAAAACCTCATAACTGGGTCATTGGATAAAAGGAAAAAACCTTGTTGGCTCCACTTTGTTTGACCAGAAATGTCTTCATAATGACTTAATATTCTCAACAATTCAGGGTAAGCCTCACTAAGCACTGTAAACTTGTGATCATTCTTCGAATGCAAGTTAGAAAAAAAAATATCAAATACTTTTTGGTCGCTATAGTCCAACAATTTTTGTCCGAAGACCTGACCCAGACTAGACCTCTTGCAGCTTCTGCCTTACCAGAGCTCAAGCTTGACCCGCCGGCCATCCAGCAGGATAGTAGTGGTTTTGTAGTCAATACCTAAAATAAAAAATAAAATGAGTGGAACAGAATAACAACCAGATCAATATCTGTCACTTTATTATACATCTAGACAAGCTATGATTGATGAAGATGTGTGCACTAGATCTCCATAGTTTGGGATCAAGTGATTCTCTTTTGCAGTAAACCTGCAATGCCCCCAGAAGGTGAAACTTAATACTGTACTGCAGCCTGAACACCGGTAATAAACTGACATGAGAATAGATCACAAAAGGTCACACTAAAAATGCCAAGCAACTGCAGCAACAAGACGTCTTAGTCATATGTACAGTCACATGTGCCAGGTTTTCAGGAAGTAAAAAGGGAGATCTAGTAACCTGCCCTTAGTAAACATGGCCACTGTCAGAAGACTGGGGGAAAAAAATAAAGTATGCAATGAATACAAAGCCAGCAATTATCTAGATGTGTTTGTAGATTGTCATTACTAAAACATTTCTAAGAGGTGTGCTTGTTCTTATTTTAAAGATGGGGGTAAAGGTCCGCTTTAAGAGTGAGTAGCTACGCACTAGTTGAAACCATGCTTCCAATGCAAGTGGCTGCTCTATACAATTTTTCCTGACAGGATCACAGGAATAAAAGAGCTCTCGATGGACGTCAGCGTAGTGACATCTACGAAGAATGTAAATAGGTTGATGGTAGGGCAAAAGCATGGAGTAGCCTTACAGCACTGGGGGTCCCTGGTTCAAACTCAGATCAGGACACTATCTGCAAGGAGTTTCCTCCGGGTACTGTGGTTACTTCCCACACTCCAAACATGCTGGAAGGTTAATTGGCAACTATCTAAATCGGCCCTGTATGTATGTATGCATGTGAGAGGGACCTTAGATTGTAAGCTCCTTCAGGGCAAGGACTGATGTGAATGTGCACTGTAAATTGTCAGCGCTATATAAAATACCTGTAATAGTCATCCTTATGATTTGAGAATCACAGGAATGCATCATTACTTTAGAATATACTAGCTTTGCCAATTTTTTATTAAGTCCCTATGCTTTAAATTGATCATCTGAAGTTGCCCAAGTATACGTGACCTCAAACTGCCTTTCCAAGACCAACTTTCTAAAGAGTACAAAAAGGTTAAACCTGGCCAGTTGCAATGTAAAAAAAAAAAACCCCACAGCGGCAAATGATACATCACAACTAATTAAACACGTAACATTTAGGATCCAGAAGATACATGTAAAAAAAAAAAAAAATGTAGTACCTAAAAATTCAAGAAGCAGCACTGCCACAAGGCAAAAGTCTTTGTTTAATCCCCCAGGGTCCAAGGGCATTTAGCACTGGGTCCTTTCCAATCTGTCTTGTGACAGCCGAGCAAACCTCCCCCCCCTCCCCCTCTAAGAAAGATATTAAAAGACAGTTATCCCATCACAGGTTAGTAGATGGATGGCTACTGCAGACTGCTCTGCCCCTTGTGATCTTGTACTGGACAGGACGTTCAGAGAAGCTGAGCTGAGAGAGTTGGAGCTGTTTAGAAACATGATGACCAAGTGTTTAGACAAAATTGTACAGAAATACTTTGCTGGGTGATGTACATTTGTTTCATCTGGATTATTGAAAAAGCATTTGAGAGTTTAATACAAAAAAGTCCAATCAAAGGAAGTAGTATAAAATCCAGTTAAATTAAGGGTGAAAATGTAAAGCAATGCTTTGCTGGGCCATGTGTATCAGATCTGGATTCATTACTGAAAAAGTAAAGTTTGAGCGTTTAAAACTCCTTTAAACTGAAAGTTCAGTCCGGCTTTAAGCCCCCATTCACACTAGTCACGCTGGTGAACACAACTCGCAATAAGCACACATTGTGCTTGCGGTGCCATTATTTGTTAACTACTCCACAAAGTTGGCAAGCAAGATGTGTCTTGGTGCGTGTTAATGTGCAGCAAACGCATGTATAAACGCACAAAGCTTGCAGCTCCAACTGCTGCAAGAGCTTCTTTGCCATGCGTAGGGCAGTCCATTGGAATGAATGGGCTACCTTATGCTGATGAGTGACAAACGTACACAAGTGCCTAGTCTGATGTGGGCCAAGAGTAGAGGTTCACATACCCAAAAATGACACTGTAGGACTCTAGAGATAAAAATAACAACTCTGAAAGTACACCATCGGTTCCCGAACCAAACATGACGCAAGGGTCAGTCTTACCAAGAGCAATCAGTTTCCAATAGTCATTTTTGAAATGCAGGTTAACAGCATTGAGTTCATGAACATTGGACTGACTGGGTTCCCTTCTCCCGAGTTGTTCTAATCAGCCGTATTCCTTCACATTCTTGTAAGCACAGCAGAGTCTTGTCATCCTCCCTAATCATTCCGCCTCCAGCTTATCGCCAGGATTACCAAGCGGATTTGGTGATTTGGTTCTATTTACATTATTGACGGGTGAAAACTTGACGAAGGGCTCTTGAAAGGCAAACACTTTCCTGCTATTAATAAATGGCGAGCTTTCCTGTTTCCCGCTGTACAAGCACGGCTGGCTTCCTTACATTATGGTCAGCATCAATTATTTAAAGAGTACAAACAGTTCCAGAGCGCTGCGGAGAAGTTACATGAAGATCCGCAACACACATTGATTGATGAGGAGCTGCCCACACTCTACGTGGTACCCGATCTCTTCTCTATATATATTAGCACATTTATGGCGCCGAGAGACCAAGGCCGGACCAAAAACTCATCCGATTCCTGTGAATGGGGTAACATTTTAGTAGATGGCCCTGCAGGCTCGACAAAAGTAGATTACTGAATTGACTTTTAAAAGGAGCCAGGCTGAAATTGTTTTGGCCAGTCAGCTGCAGTCACTGTTCATGTATTCAGACAGCGGTGATCGATGGCTGTCAGAGTGCAAGAACCACAGCAGGAGATTTGTACGTTCACCCTGTTTAGCATGGATGGAGGAAAAAAACCTAAGACCCCCATTCTCACTTGAACTACAGTCAAAACTTTCAGAGCTGATTTGAGCTACATTGCGCTACAGTGCACATTTTGTCGCACTACGAAGCGTTTCTTTGGCAGTCTATCAAAGCCTATTGGGGCCAAATCGCAAAAAAATCCCCTGGAAAAAATAGGTCATGTTTGAGCGACAAGCGAGAGGCGACAATGAGCTGTGAACAGCTCCATTGAGCTGTGAACAGCTTCATTGAAATGTATTGGACGAGCTACACTGAGCAATTTTTGAGCAGAAATTGCCCTTTAGGGCCGGTACACACCTAGACGACACTTCACCAAGCGGCAATCAAACACAATTCTGCGCGGATTGCCACGCGGTCAGAGTCACCTAGGTGTGCACCAATCACACTGTGGGTGCCCTTATTTTATAATGGCACCCCAGTCGTGCCGGGCGGACCGCGCGGTTTCCCGCCGTGATTCCACCTGTGCTTCCGAACACGCTAAAAACTGCCACACGTCGTTTAGCGCAAAAAATGCACATGTACCTTTTTTCTGCGATTGCTGCGTGGATGTCACCTCACTGAAATCAATGGGGCTGCGCGGCCTGCATTGTGCAGGATCTTGTAGGTCTGCACCCTGGCCGAACAGTGTATGGCCAGCTTTACATTCCTTGATTACAGCATCTCCTTGGCAGACTTTACACAATGGAATATTTAAAGCCCATTTTGTCGGTTATATAATTCGCTTTCTTTAACACTTTCACATTTTCATAGCTGCAAAAGGAGATTTTATTTGAGGCGAGCGACACACTTGACAAAATAGCTCTTGGAATCACCCCGACCGGATTATTACCATCAGCACAGTGGCGTAGTGGATAGCACTTCTGCCTTGCAGCACTGGGGGTCCCTAGTTCACTGCCAGACACTATCTGCATGGAATTTGCATGCATGTACTCCCTGTGCATGGCAGGGTTTCCTCTGGGTACTCCATTTCTTTCCCACCAAGACATGCTGGAAGGTCAATTGGCTCCTGCCTATATTGGCCTGAGATAGGGACCTTGTAAACTCCATATGGGGCAGGGACTGATGTGAATGTTCTGTGTGAATGGTCGGCGCTATATAAATACCTCTAATAAATAATAACCTGCCAGTTGTGCACAGGCCAAGGGCTTGTGTACAGCATTTGTTGCATCAAAACTACTTATTTCCATTCAAGTCAACTGGAATGCAAAAGCAGCTTTATAGAGCTTAGAAAGGAGGTCAGAAGCAACTGAAGAAACTCGGGAATGTTCCCAGAAGAATCTCAAATTCAAAGCTGAAAGTACCCGAACCCTTGCTGAATCTGCCAAACTACAGGAGCCTCAGTACAAAGCTCGCCTCATCAATATGCATTCTGGGTTGTTTTTTTTTTTTTATTAAAGAAAAAAAAGTGGTGCTCCCCCACACTGCAAGGGATAAGTGCTCCTTTTGTCCAGGGGGCTCAAATAAAGCTTTATTACTATTTGCCTGACGAACCAAAATGTTGCATCAATTTATATCATGCTGCAAGGACGTTAAGAAGTACAACAACATTCTGAAGCAGATTGGTGTGCGGACAAAGCATTTCAGTGTATCTTGTGGTGCCATCCACCGGTTGTAGCCGAGATTTTATCTGTACGGAGCGCGGTGGAGATATATTTCTATTATAGTCGGCACTCACCTCTCTCTCTCTCCGCTCTGGCTGTGTAACGACCCTCGTCATCCTCACATCTAATGCAAGTCAATGGACCTGCATAAGACGTAATGACACCAGCGGACCTTAGACTGCCCGAGCTCAGGGGAGAAAAGGCTGCGGGGACCGGTCTAGCAGCTTTGCGGGACCAAGAATCTGGTAAGTATATCTGCTTTATATGAGCGCCCTAGATAAAATGAGCACTTAAACCTTGCAGAGCAGGGGCAGCCCCAAAGCAAGGGTTCGTTTTTTTTTTTTACATTCCCAGAGCTCATCTTTAAAGGATTTAGGATATAGTTACTCCGCTGCTGCATGCTGCCAGCGCCCAATTTAATGACAGACAAGTGCAGCGGTTGTGAATGTGTTTAATAGGCCTGCACACCATCTCCTC